AAAAAGAATGAGACAAGAACTATTTTTTCTGGCTCGCAGTACAACTATTTAAAACATAGCAGAATTTATAGCATCCTTTAGCCTTTGAATTACATGAATTTCACTCTTGTTGGACATCTTGTTGACACCTTGTTACTTGCTGTAAACTTATACATAATGTTACGATAAGAAGGATGTCCTAGGGTGATATTTCTTTTCTTTAGTATCTGAATTCATCTTCTAAAGATCTATTTTGTTCCATTCAACAAAAATGACGTCTTTGTGAAAAAAGTCCATGAAAAATTAATTTACTAAACTGGAGTTATCTCAGCTTTGGGAAATATAGCAGCATCTTTTGAAATGTATTTTGTTTATCTAAGGGATTTGTAAGACTAAGAATAGTAGTTCAACAAAGATTTTAATCAGTAGAGGACTAGATGTGCTAGATCATATATGAATTATTTTTAGATTTTTAAAGAAATGAGTCCTCATTTGACAGAAATAGTGGAGCTTGCTTAAGGAAGTAAAATTCCCAAATCCTGATGATAAACATTTCACAGATGTTAAAAGATCAGATCAAAAAGGTAATAAGTTGATCTGAAGGAAGATTTGAACCCAGTTCTTGACTATAGTGGAGGCTTCAATGTTTTTGTTCTGTTAGATCCTTAAGGTAGTTGGTATGTAGATGCACTATGTCAGTTCCTACCTCCTTCATGATGGGGAGTCCTTTCTGTGTGTCCTTTTGTCACTTGTTTTCTAAAAGGACATCAGTCATATTGGATTAAGGGGCCACACTACTCCAGTATGACCTCACACAGACTTGCATTTCAGTTATACATGCATAAACCTTATTTCCATATAAGATTCCATCCCAAGATCTAGGGAAGAATATGCCTTTGAGGGAGATATTATTCAAACCAGTACATCACTCAGTTATGTAGAAAGAATCACTTCCTACCTAAGGCTTATGATTTCAGTAATGTGTATTGATATTCTCTCCTTTATCAGACTTCTGTTCTAGCAAAATGGCATACAAATGCATCACATTTTCAAATGTCATATAATTTCACATCCATTGCTTCAAATACTTTACAATTTCCCACATAATTTTAAAACTCAAATTCCTACTAATCTTGTAACATGTTTCTTCCTCATGGAGAAAATGTTGCCCTTTTATATCAAATGATAGAAGAAAAAGAGAAAATAGCTCACACCCTCAGAAAATCACACAGTTAAAGAAAGCAGCTTCTGTCAATAAATACATTCCTCTGCTGACTCTGAATTGCTGGGGATGGTTTATTGCCTGGAGTTTGTTTCAGTTACAATACAGTGCTCATAGAAACCTAAAGCAATTAAGGGAGATTATAGAAGTAATAATGTAGAGGGTAAAGACTGGTGCATGTAGGGCTACTATTTTTAGTTCATTCTTCCAAATGGTGAAAAATACAGCAGGTAAATTGGGTGATAAATGCTGTTATTTTGTCCTCCTTCATAATATGGAAGTGTGCCGATAAAACAGAAAATTCAGAGAGGTATTTGTTAAAATCTGATCCCTTTTACATTTTATGCAAAACATAATGCTTGTTTTTTATCCAGCATTATTACAAAATGTTTAATAATTCTAACGCAGAATCATACTTATCAAATGTTTCTGCCTTTTCTTTTTTCTCCAATGTAAGTCTTGAGAAATTCATTATGAGTACATTGGCTGCTTTTTGGAAACCCAAGAAAGAAAAATCCTACTGCAAAACGAATTCTAGATGACCTGTTCTCCCACAGAATCAAGATCACGGCCCCAGTACAGTGATAGAACCGTCAGATGCCTGAACTACCAGAAGAACAAATCACGCATAAACTTACCTAAGCTAAGGTATAATTTGTTTTTACATTTCTCAGGGTTTTAAAGATATTTTTTAACTTCTCAAAAGTTAACTACTTGTATTAATGGGACTTATTAACTTATATAACTATTGAGAAAATACAAGATGCAAAATAATAATAAATAATAAAATAATAAAACTAGACCCAGCTCTGCTATATATTCCCATCAAAATTCCAGTAAGTAATTTCATTTAGGGAAAGAGTTAAAACAGTTATTTCAGGCTGGGTGTAGACCTCATTGGTAGAATGCCTGTCTAGCACGTTAAGGCCTTGTGATTGATTCTTGGAGCTATAAAAAATAAAAAATAAAAACAAATAAAACATGATTTTCTCATATGTAATTCTCAATTATACTTACAGAGACCTTCTATCTTCATTTTCTAAGGTAATATAACTTTTCCCAATTACGAGCAACATAGTTTCAAAATCGAGCAAAAAGTACAAAGGAAAAAATAAGTATCACTCATATTTTCATTTCTCAGGTACATATATTTTTATATTTTACATGTTCTTTCAGGCTGTCTGGATTGATATCTTTGTTAGACAAACAGAATATTAACATTGGCTTCACTTACATATTATTTTTCTATCATTTAGCAATGTATGCTTGTATTATGTATGTCTCATATTGGTTATACCTTTCATATTCATCAACAAACTATGAATGTTGTCTATCCTATAATTTTTCAATGGAAGAAATATATATTCAGCCTTTCTCAAAATTTTCCATCATACTACTGCAAATCACAGGGGAGAAAGACAGTACTTGTACTAGCACTAAAGATCAAAATCTCTTTGGAGCTATTTGATCTGCCTTTGGTATTCCACTACAGTACACTTGTGCTTACCTCAAATGTCACATCACATGCTACTGAAGTTTTCTTCCCAAATCTTCTAACTAATCTAATGTTGTTTTATTACATTCATCAAATTATATTTCATAGTCTCTGGCACATCACTATGGGCATCTATGAATCCTCCTTTTGGAAGTGTTGGCTAAACTTATGATTTTCTCAAAGTATTTGGCTGAAACAATAAAAAGCCATGCTATAGGAACTGTGCCTGAGGCTGTGGACTTTCCTTGAGGAACTGGGGGTTCTAAGAGGCACATTTATTACATAAAGTGACAAAGAGAAGACAGTTGAAGGTCTCATGCCAAAAGTCTTGGTGGGTTTTAAATCATCCTTGAGATTAAAGTCTGTTCTACAAGAATTGGGAAAGAATCAGTTAACACTTAGGTCAAAGCTACTGTCACAGTTAACACAATCAGTCATAACTGTTACTCTTATTCCTTTCGATAACAGTAGTTTTTCACATCAAATTTCCTAGTCTTGTCTTACACATTTGTGTACCAGAAAGTCAGAGAAGACTTTTATGGAACCACAGCTAGGAGGAGTTGAGGAAAGAAGTTACCAAGAATACACACTTGGTGTTGAAAAGTGGAGGGATTTTTTCCCTAAGACAAATGTTGAGAAAAAGAGTTTCAGATCAGAGGTGGAAAGGAGAAAACTTCAGGATTTTACTGCAAAATGGCTCATTATCCTGGGCAAAGCAACAAGACCACCAGACAATGAAGAAGGGCCAGGAAAAGACAAAAGATTCTAAGATTGCTGGAGAGGAGCCATGCTGGGGAGTGAAGACCAGTGTGTCTGGGATTCCAGCTAAGGTCTTGTGCCAGTGCGTTCAGTGGTCTCAATCTGCAAGAACACACACAGTTCCAAAAAATCTACGTGGGTTACCAACAATAACTTCAAAGATCAATGCAGCCATTATTACATTGCATGGACTGATGCAATGTAAGAATGATGGTGTCTATTACAGGGGTGACTGATAAATATTAATACATGCAGTGTGTTTAGCATAGAACCTGGCACACAATGTTCAAATCTATATTGAAATGGTAAAAAAAAAAAGGACATAACAGAATCCAAAGTGCTGCTTAGAATGGAAGAGAGATGCTAATCATTCCATGTGCTATTAAGGGGAATGTAGTAAGGGACTCTTTTATGGAAGAAAAAAAAAAAGGAAGCATTGAGAATCTAGAATTTCTTGTTTTATTAATGTTATTGGAAAACAGGTTTCGGGGAACAATCAAAGAATTAAAGATTACCAGGAATGATGATGGATACCTGCCATCCAAACTATTTGGGCAATGGAGGCCCAGGTTGGACAATTTAGGGAAACGCTGTCTCAAAATAAAATAAAAAGGGTCAGCAAAGATTTGAACACTTGCCTAGCTGGTGGATGATTCTTGGTTTCCGTGTCGGTTCCATACGTACACAAAGAAATAGACAAGATAATGATTACAAGAGAATTTTAACCTTAAGATTCGGGAGCGGTGGTCAGATGCTGAAAGGAAGCGAGTTACTGAAGGGGAACACCGACGAAGGTAAGAAGAAATGAGATGGTTCATTTTGTACATAAGCTATGCCACCTGGAAGTTGAAACTTGGTGTCATTTTGGATCCAGGGAAAACCTCAAGAAGGTTAAGAACTCAGAAATGTGGCCATAAAGAAAAATAAACTTTTGAAGAAAATAAGAACACTTTTAAAAGAAGCATGGCGTAGATAAAAAAAACAACTTTACTATTTATTGTCTAAAACTTGAAGACTTGAAGAAATTTAAGTTTAAGGTAAAGGGATGAGTCTTTCAAAAAGAGGTTCATGGCAGGACTTTTGGTTTCTTTTTAAACTATGACGAGTATTATAGATTATGCAGTAGAACCAAGAAGAGTGAAATGGCCAGTGAAGGGGAAATGCTAACATGAGTGTAGAAGACAGTTTGAAAGATAACGGAGGATAAGAATGGTCTTCACCAGGAGCAGCACTGGTGAGCCTGCAGGATCACAAAGCTAGAAAACGAAGCTATGTTAATGGAAATAACATTTCCATTTCTTTTTTTATGTTAGTGTAAAGCAGTTTTGTTGCCTGAAGACATGGAAATTTCATAGCAAAGCTCATGGGCGGAAAAATTTTAATTCTTACCCCCTTTACTTCTGAAATACGTGAGGACTATGTTTGGAATTAAATGTAATTCTGCTGAATTTCCCAAGTATTCTACGATAATTTCCCAAGTATTCTACGATTAGGTATAAAAACAATACGTATTCCCATTTCCCATCTTCCAAGGGAGTTACTTACCATCAGAGACACACTCTGGGGTGAAAGAGATGTCATCAAGGGCAATGAAGATGTCCTCACTTCCACCCAAATCAGCTTCAAATGCTACTTTAAATGGACTGTTACTGGAGAGAGACACAAGCCCATATGTCCATCCAGTTCTTTTATTTCCAGTCTCTGACCACACTAGGATGTCTAGTCCCGATTCCTCAATGATATACACCTAGAAATAGTAACAAGCAGAAAAAACCTTATGATTAGATATTAGAAGCATATGGATATATATATGTATATATACATATATATACACACACATATATGTATATATATGTATATATACATACGTATATATACATATATATATATATAGAGAGAGAGGGAGGGTTGATTAGCAAAAGAATAAAGACTCTGGTAATATGAAAGATCAATACATTGACTATCATATTTTCTATCTATACAAGTTGGGGGATATAAAGCCAGCCAATGCATGCTATATTTTCTCTGGTGTCATCACACCGATATGTATATATCAATAGAACATGAGCATAAGTGTAACCCTCTTAAGCATCTAAAAAGTTAGAGGATATATACAAATAAAATTTTTCATTGCTAAGAAATTTTGTGTATGGTATTACTCCAGAAAAAAGAAGAGGACCTTGAGAATAAATACATATGAGATTACACAATCATTTCAGAAATCAAAATAATGTACAGAAAATATTTAACCTTTTCTCAAGAAGAAAATCATCTGGGGTTGAATAAGATCACTATTTAGCACTAAAATACAAGGACTAGCAAACACAACAAAGAAGTATTGAAATATTAAAAGAGTAGCTTTGACGCTAACGATGCTATTAAATTCTAGTTTTTTAAGAGTGAAAGGAATTTATAAAAAATGCAATTTTCTATAGTTGTTTTCTAAAACTATATAAACAATAAGAAAAAAGTAAGGTTGAAAGTTTTTGTTTCTATTTTAATTCTAAAAACCAAACCTAAGGTCTTAAGCATGTTAGGCACTAACCCTACCACTAATCTATAGTCACAGCCCAAAATACTTTTCTACACTCTTTTTTTATTCAAATTTCAGTCATTTCACTCAGTTGCTAAGACTAGATATATTGTGTTATACTACATGCATATGCAGCTGTAATGTTCCTCAGAAATTTACTCATGATTTTTTAATGTGAAGAAAATAAGTCTTAGGAGAAACAAAAATACATGAATAGTAATTTTCTTCAATTGCAGTGCATTTTTGCTAGTGAATATCATTCTTTTTTTTTTTTTAATTCTTATTTTTTGGTTTTTCTCCGGTACCGGGAACCGAACTCACGACCTTGCGCTTGCCAGGCAGGCGCTTTGCCGCTGAGCTAAATCCCCAGCCCCCGTGAATATCATTCTTAATGAAAAGTATTACTTTCTCACTTTTCTTTTGAGTTTTAAAATTTATCTACACAAACTTTATCCCAAATGTTTACTACTTTATCCCAAATGTTTATTAAGTAAAACCACTCATGCTATTGCATAAAATGAAATTAAATTAATATTCAGAAATATTATCAAGAATCACCAAATATTCCAGAGCCAGAAATTAAGCGTGTTGCTAGTGGTCACTAGCAACAGTATAAAAGGTATAAAAGGTCTAAGACTGAGTATAAAGGTCTAAGTATAAAGGTCTAAGACTGAGTCAGAAATCCAATTGTTAATAAGAGTTAAACAAAGTACCAAAAATCTAGATATTTAAACAAGGGAAAATTGAAAAATTTGCTCAACTTGGAAACATGAAATGTGAGACTTTAATAACACTATAATCAAACTAAATGCTTTGGAAAATCAGACTTTTCCAAAGCACAATTCACTTTTGTATCTTGACACTCCATTCAGTGGAATACTGTAAGATACAACCTGAAAGGAGTTTGTGACAGCAGATGAATCCAGGACTGAGTGTAAGCGCCCATCCATGCCCAACAGTTTTCAGTTCCAGATCTTGGTGGGCACTTACCTCTCAAATTCATGCAAGTTTTTAAATGTACTTAATGCTAAGTTTATTTTTATTTTTATTTTTGGTACTGGGAATCAAACTCATTACCTCAGGCTTGCCAGGCAAGCTCTTATGCTGCTGAGCTATATCCCCAGCCCAAAATGCTAAGTTTCAAAGACGTGAGGTTTCCAATTCAACTTGTTGGTAAGAAGGCCACTGTATAGAATCTAAAGTGAACTCTGTTTTCAATATACTTTCTAGTTCAATCAAACTTTATTATATTTATTTTGTAATAAATGGAAAAATAAGGTCAGAAAAGAAAAGTACATGAAAATATAACCCCAATGTTTTCTGGTTTCAGTTCAAATTTGATATTCATGCATTTTATTCATATGTCTACTTTTATTATCTTTACATTCCATTTGGTTGTCTGGATTCAGTCCTTTTACTCCTCAGTCAATCCAACATGTTCTTGTCAAACTCATTTTCTTCCATTCTCTTTTTCAGTGAATTTCTCAAAAGCCATCACAAACCACCCTGTCTCTCCCCCGTGAGTATTAAAATCTCTGGTAAATGTCAACATATCTTATTCCATTATGTGACCCTATCATGACTCCAGATTAACTCCGGTCAAGTTCACTAACTCATTACTTAGTTTAATGAAAGCTTTTGACAACTTTATAGGTGTCTTTGTAAACCACCAATGTATTAAATTGAAAACTTATATGTTAGTTCCAGTATTTCTGTAGCCACAGTGGCCAACGGAAAAACTAGGAGTATTATTTAAGAACTCCACATCATACTTTTTATTCATGATGGCTAATGGGAAATGTGCAAAAGGTTAAAAATTATAATAAACATCTCTATCTCCCAACTGAAATAATATTCATTGTATTCTGAGAGTAATTTGGTAACAACTTGCAGGGAAAGTTTTATGTTTAATAAGTTAAAAGTCTATTAATTTGGAAAATAAAAAGGGTTAATATTATTGAAGAATAATTGCTTTTAACTTAACTTGTTATTCCTTTTATATTAATATGCATTATTAGTTTTATATATCATTGAACAAATTTTACTAAAAGCAATTCATGCCAGGATAATAATTTATTATTTTAAATAGATTTCTGAAAACGATACACTGAGTGAATTTCCTTTGCTATTTTAAGTTTTGGTTGAACAAAGACCTAGTAATATAATAATGGTCAACATTACATATTATAAAGCAATGTTTTTTATCATGAATTTCAATAAAACAAATGAAATCAATGAATATACAAATAAGGACATTAAAATAAAATTTACATTGTATATCATTAAAATTATAGTCAAAGGTTATAATCAAAATAACTACTTATAACATGGGGCAGGAAAAGCCTAAAGAGAGATTGCTAAATCAAAACATAGAATAAAATTATAAAGGCATCTAGATACAAATATTATAAGATTACCTACTTAAATGGTGTTTTTCTGACAAAGCTACTGCTCTGTATTTATTTAGAAATAACATTCTTTTGAAGAAAAGCATTCAATAACTATGAAGAAGCAATAGAAAAAGTGAAAGTTCATGGTAAAATTTAAGAATAGTGGGGATATTCAAGTCCTGCTATTTCTGCGATTCCACATGTCTAGGTTGCCTAGGTGAGCCTTTAAAGATCCTGATTAGCAGCTTTCCCTGAGTTTTTCTCCTGATGCTATTCAGAAACTCCAGGGGCCTTCAACTTTGAAAGGGGTCACTGGCACCCCCTTGGATTCTCTGAGCGAACACCTCTGGATACCAGAACACATCATCCATTTCATTAGGTATTTAGCTCATTAAAACCAGTGAATGAAAGGAACTAGGGTGGAAAATGTGACCTTCCCTGGCCCCAGCTGTTCTCAGAGCTTCTGCTAGGGATCTGCTCTTTAATCACTACTGAGAGTGTAAAGCAGTGAACAGAATTATTGCTTCATCCACAGAAGCATGTAGTTTCATATGGGTTTAATTTGAAACTACTGAGGTTCTATATCAGAAGAAAGGAAACATAAAGGGAAATTTCCCTCAATAATAAGAAGTGATAGGTTTTAAAACTAAGTTTATGAGGTGTAGAAATAACAATGCTGCCCAAATTAATGAAATTTAGCGCATAAACATATTTTATGCTAGGAGCCTCAATTTATACACGGGTGTAGGGTAAGACTATTAACTGCCAGCTACAGCTTGGAATTAGGGAAAGAGAAAGTTAAACAAGTAACTAAATATACAGAACACAAACTTCCTCCTTTTGATTCAGCAAATAATGGACATAGAAATCATCACTGCACTGCTCACAATAAAAAAATAACTAAAGAAAGTAAAAATCAAAAGGTTTTCTGAGATTTCTCAGGAAATTGAAGCTGCAGAGAAAAATCACTTTGTTGAAAATAGGAATGCTGGGGCTGGGGATTTAGCTCAGCGGCAAAAGCGCCTGCCTGGCAAGCGCAAGGTCGTGAGTTCAGTTCCTGGTACCGGAGAAAAACCAAAAGAAAATAGGAATGTTATGGTTTAGATTAACCATGTTCCCCCAAAACTCATGCGCTCAGAGGTGCAGATTTGGAGGATGATTTTGGAAGAGTTATGCGGGTGTTGTATATGTTAGTGGATTCCAATGGCTGAGTGTACTGTTGGAAGGTGGGGTACAGTTGGAAGAGGAGGGTCACTGCAGGCCTGACCTGGAAGAGTATATCTTCTTTCCCAGCTCCTTACTTCTCTCTCTGTTTCCCGATCACTGTGATGTGGGCAGCTTTCCTCTCCCCAGAACCTTCCACCACTCCATTTCTGCTTGTGAGCCTGCCAGCCAAGGACTGAAAATGGGAGTGAAAGCAAACCTCTCCTCCTTTACGTTGTGGGTGTTAGGTATTGTGTACCAGCGACCAGGAATGTGACAAAGACAATAGAAGAGGGAGAAGTATATTGCATCAAAACTTAGTAGAAGAGAAGCACGGGATGAATACTCCTACAGACAATAGTACAAAGGTAGGAAAATCTCAACTTGCTTGTGAGTCTACTTTGCAGGAGAAATTAAAAGACGTTCTCAGAGAAAATGATACAGGTCAGAGAATCAAATCTACCCAAAGAGCTCATGAGAAGAAATAAAAGCATACACGATACTTTTTTCTTATTTTAATTGATCTAATAGATAATTTGACCAAAACATAATAACAATGTTTTCAGGCGTTTTAGCTTATGGATATGCAAAATTAATGACTGCTATGAGACAAACAAGGGA